TCCTCTTGTATATATTATCAACTTCTGGGGTCTATGTCCTCCACTCAAAAATATATACGCCATAGAATACAAATATTGTAATTTTTCAAACAAAAGTCGGGGTCCATTTGACCCGCTAAATATTGACCAAGCTTTTTCAAAACAGGCATGATTATTCTTTAGCCCGATTCCGTTCTCCATGCAAAATTTCGCCATGTTCGGGCCATAATTGCGGCCCCTGGAGAGACCAGAAAAACGGACAAAAATTAAGTATTTGGTCCATTTCACCCTCTAAAAATTAACCAATCCTTACCAAAAACAATAGGGGTCTTCATTGGCCAGAACCCATCCTTCATGCAAAACTTCGTGAAGATTGGACCATAACTGTGGCCTGTATCGCGTTTATAAATTATAATGGACAGGCAGACGGACGGACGGACACACATGTCTAGATCGACTCAGCTAGTCGAGATATGACGATCGGTATACTTAATGGTGGGTCTAGGACCAATATTTCGCGGCGTTACAAACTTTTGGTGCTGCACAAAGCTATAATATCCTGACATCATAGTTGTGTAGGGTATAAAAATCTCAATCTCTCATTCTTAATAGAACCAAGGGTGGGTATATGGTTCACAATTTCACGACGTTAGTCATCTGCTAAATTTCTATTAAATCACACAAACATTTTGACTTCGTAAAATCGTACGAAACTATATATGGGAGCTATATCTAAATCTGAAATATATTTTATCCAATTTCTATTGGGTCCGCCCACTAACAGCTACATAAATAAACTATACCATGTTTCACATTTCCATCCGAATTTGTAATGTGACCATTAACTAGTAACTTTGTTTTTATCTCTTCATAGTGCATACATATTTTTCGGACTTAACTACCACCTGTATATTAAGGCATAAAGATTTCGACCTGCATTTGCCATATGTGTTAAATTTTAATGCCAATCTCTTTATAAATCCATGGAATCTTAAAGAATCCTTTTCTAAGGATATATACAATTTCACGGAACAAGATGATCAATATAGAGCTGATGGTATTTATTATGATGACTGGGTAAAGAAATATGTGGCAGCTATAGCTCATACAAATTGTGAGGTAAGTTATATCCTTAAATATTAAATATTATATACCCTTCACCAATATGGGTATATTTAAAAGATATATCCTAACAGAAGGGTCATTGACGTGAAATTGGATGAACTAAAATATGTGACCTTTATCTAAATGTGAATCGACATAGATCATAAACTAATTTAGACTAATTTATGCACGTTTTGTTCCTAATGGACATATTTTGGGTCCTTATTAAAATCGGACGAACCTATATGGGAGCTATATCTAAATATCGACGCAGCAACGTACAAAATGAAAAATTCGCGGTTGTAAACATAAATTTACAGTGGAAAAATTCAATTCGGGGGGGGGGGGCGGTCCACCCGAGCTCCCCCCCTGCGTACGTCCCTGTATCGACGGATTTCAAAGAAACTTGACACACGCTTGGTTAAACTATTTTAAGTACCTTGTGCACAATTTTGTGTCAAACGGCCCACCATTTATTTCAAATCGGAAGAAAATAAATATGGGGTAAAATATATATAATCCGAACTGATTTCAGCAAATCTTGATACATGTTATGTTACACAAACTTTAGTACGTTGTGCAAATTGTGCGGCAATCTGCCTAACTTTGTTTCTTAAAATTGGACAAATTTCAGGAAACTTTACACACATCATTCTAGCCTCAAGTCAGTACGCTAAGTCAAATTTCGTGGAAATCGAAAGATATATAGGGACTTTGGTACACCATTTACTCGAAATCGGACAAAAAATATATATGGGAGCTATATCTAAATCTGAACCGAAAATTTTGCACACATCATTCTGGACTAAATTCAGCACGCTATGCCAAATTTCGTGCAAGTAGGAAGATATATAGGGACTTTGGTGCAACATTTACATTAAATCGGACGAAAATATATATGGGAGCGATATCGAAATCTGAACCGATTTTCAAGAAATTTTACACATATCATTCTAGACTCAATTCAGTACGCTATGCCAAATTTCGTGCAAGTCGGAAGATATATAGGGACGTTGAAGATATTAGGGACGTTGGTACACCATTTACATAAAATCGGACGAAAATATATATATATATATATATATATGGGAGCTATATCTAAATTGGAACCTATTTTCACGAAATTTTACACACATCATTCTAGACTCAATTCAGTACGCTATGCCAAATTTCGTGCAAGTCGGAAGATATATAGGGACTTTGGTACGCCATTTACTTCAAATCGGACGAAAATATACATAGGAGCTATATCTAAATCGAAACCCGATTTTCAAGAAATTTTACACTCATCATTCTAGACTCAAGACAGTACGCTGTTCCACATTTCGTGGAAATTGAAAGAAATATAGGGATTTTGGTGAAGCATTTACATTAAATCGGTTGAACATATATATGGGAGCTTTATCTAAATCTGAACCGATTTTCAACAAATTTTACATACATCAATCTAGACTCAATTCAGTACGATATGCCAAATTTCGTGCAAGTCGGAAGATATATAGGGATTTTCGTACACCATTTTCATGAAATAGGACGAAAATATATATGGGAGCTATATCTAAATCTGAAGCGATTTGCAAGAAATTTTACACATATCATTCTGGACTTAATTCAGCACACTATGCCAAATTTCGTGCAAGTCGGAAGATATATAGGGACTTTGGTACACCATTTACATGAAATCGGACGAATATATATATATATATATATATATATATGGGAGCATTATTTATATCGAAACCGATTTTCACGAAATTTTACACAAATCATTCTAGACTCAAGGCAGTACGCTATGCCAAATTTCGTGGAAATCGAATGGTATATAGGGACTTTGGTGAACCATTTACATTAAATCGGTCGAACATATATATGGGAGCTATATCTAAATCTGAACCGATTTTCAAAAAATTTTACACACATCATTCTAGACTCAATTCAGTACGATGTGCCAAATTTCGTGCAAGTTGGAAGATATATAGGAACTTTGGTACACCATTTACATAAAATCGGACGAAAATATATATGGGAGCTATATCTAAATCTGAACCGATTTTCAGGAAATTTTACACACATCATTCTAGACTCAAGACAATACGCTATGCCAAATTTCGTGGAAATTGAAAGATATATAGGGACCTTGGTACACCGTTTACTTGAAATCGGACGAAAATATATATGGGAGCTATATCGAAATCTGAACCGATTTTCAAGAAATTTTACACATATCATTTTAGACTCAATTCAGCACGCTATGCCAAATTTCGTGCAAGTCGGAAGATACATAGGGACTTTGGTACACCATTTACATGAAATCGGACGAAGATATATATATGGGAGCTATTTCTTGAAAATCGGAACCGATTTTCAAGAAATTTTACACACATTATTCTAGACTCAAGACAATACGCTATGCCAAATTAAATCGGTCGAACATATACACGGGAGCTATATCTAAATCTGAACCGATTTTCAAAAAATTTTACACACATCATTCTAGACTCAATTCAGTACGATATGCAAATTTCGTGCAAGTCAGTACGCTATGCCAAATTTCGTGGAAATCGAAAGATATATAGGGACTTTAGTGCAACATTTACATTAAATCGGTCGAAAAGTATATCGAAATCTGAACCGATTTTCAAGAAATTTTACACATATTTTTCTAGACTCAATTCAGTACGCTATGCCAAATTTCGTGCAAGTCGGAAGATATATAGGGAATTTGGTACACCATTTACTTGAAATCGGACGAAAATATATATGGGAGCTATATCTAAATCTGAACCGATTTTCGAAAAATTTTACACACATCATTCTAGACTCAATTCAGTACGATATGCGAAATTTCGCAAATCGAAAGATATTTAGGGACTTTGGCATACCATTTACCTAAAATCGGGCGAAACTACTTATGGGGGCTATATCTAAATCTTAACCGATTTGCACGAAACTTATCACATGTCATTCTAGACTTAATTCACTACGCTATGCCAAAATTGGAGCAAATCGAATGATTTTCAGGCACTTTGGTGCACCATTTACCTAAAATCGGGCGAAACTATATATGGGAGCTATATCTAAATCTTAACCGATTTGCAAGAAATTTTACACACATCATTCCAGACTCAATCCAGTACGGAATGCCAAATTTCGTGCAAATCGAAGGACATATAGGGACTTTGCTACACCATTTACATTAAATCGGGTGAAACTATATATGGGAGCTATATCTAAATCTGAACCGATTTTCTCCAATTTCAATAGGGTTCGTCCTTGGGCCAAATAAGTGATCTGTGCCAAATTTCATCCAAGTCGGATCATAAATGCGACCTGTACTTTGCTAACAAATATACATGGACAGACAGACGGACGGGCGGACATGCATAGATCGACATTTGTGCCTATATCGGACGAAAATATATATGGGAGCTATATCAAAATCTGAACCGATTGGTGCCTATATCGGACATTGTTGCCTTTATCGGACGAAAATATATATGGGAGCTATATCAAAATCTGAACCGATTTTTCCCACTTTCTATAGGGTTCTTCCTTGGGCCAAATATGCCAAATTTCATCCAATTCGGATCATAAATGCGACTTTGTTTACAATTTAACATGGACAGACAGACGGACGGACGGACATGTATAAATCGACTTAGAAAGTAATTCTATGCATATACTCAAAAGGAACCATGTGTCTGTCTCGTTTCTTTTTGCCTGTTACAAACATATGCACAAAGACACAATACCCTGTGCCACAGTGTGTTGAAGTGTATAAAAAAAACTGATTTTCCGGAGATATTATCAACCTCAATTAAAACGAATTTTAGTAAACAGGGTCGTGGTCGTAACTCACTCATAGTCTTTAAAAAATATATCATCTCTTTATATCTTATTCAATTTCAATCATTCAGGGCTTTGTCGTTTTTCAAGATGATATCCCACGATTTACGGCAACATATCGTAAGGCCAGTGTATATTCTATTTGGAGATCAGAGAATCCAAAATTTCTATTTGCCTACACAAAAGAAACTCAAACCGAAGAATATTTTCAGGATTTTTTATTGAAAAGTAAGTACCAGCACTCACTAATCTATACGAAAATCATATCAAACAAATTTAACTTTCAGATGCCCCCAATATTGTTGTTATTGAATCGGAATATCGAAATTCCTCGCAATTTTATATAAAAGTAAATAAATTTGTTGGTTCTTTGTTCAAAAATCCCCATGAACTATTGGAAATTAGCAAGTTTGATGCTCTAACAAGGACCTTTGAACCAAATGTAAGTTTATATCCCCGAAATAAATTACAAAATCTACATGGACGTGAAGTAATTGTTGGTGCATTCGATTATCGTCCGTTTATTGTCGTGGAATATAATCGTACACCGGAATATTATGATCATGCTGAGGATAATCCACGGCATTTGGCCCACATTGATGGTACAGAAATGCGTATTCTTCACACCTTCTGTGAACTATATAATTGTAGTGTTCAGATGGATACAAGTAAGTTGAACAATATTTTTGACAGTCCCTACCATAATTGGGTCATACCGCTTGCTAAAACTCAGAATCAATGTAAAATTCTTAATGTGAAAATTTTTGGTGAAGGGTATAAATAGCCTCGAAATGATTGTTGTTTTTATTACTTGTTTATTTTTCACAGCCGAAAAAGAGGAATGGGGATTTGTATATCCGAACTATACAGCGGATGGACAGCTTGGTAGGCTTATAGATGGAAAAATACATATGGCCATGGGTGCCATGTTTTTATGGTAGGTAATATAACCAGTAAGGAAAATTGATTTTAGTACGTATTGTTTCTATCAGCCATATATTCGGTCTCTTGTTATATAGGGGAGACTGGGGCACCTTCGGCACTTTTTTTTTAGAGCTCTATATCTCAGTACATATTCAACATATATAAAAACTATATGGCTGATTATTGTCCTCTGACACTTAATTATGAAAAATAGTACCAAAAAGATATATAAAAATAGTATTAGTTAAAAAATTTTACAGTTTTGTAAAAAAAGTCAAATTCGCCGAATGTGCCCCAACCCGGGGTAGCTTCGGCATTTGATGGGGCACATTCGGCACCATAGTCATAGCCGGGTAATTGTCATCGCTATCAGTCTGGTTGAAATTCTGATTATCTAAAGGCTCTATTTGGTTTTGATACGCCACACAATGTTTGAATTATAGGGCTTTATTTTCTAGCGGCGGACGTTTACATCTCAAGGTCGCACACACCATCAGAAATAGGGGTTTTCTATCGCATTTTCGTCAATATAAGCACGTTTGATCTTTTATATGCAATTTCGAGCCATATTAAAGGATTAGTTTTAAAGACAAACTCAAAAACATTTTAAGGAAATAATATTGCACAACCTGTATATGGCCGAATGTGCCCCAATTTAAAATGCCGAATGTGCCCCGAATGTACTTTTTATAGTTTTTTTCATTTTTTTCGATCAGTTTTGTAAAAATATTATATTTTTAAATATTTCTATAATAATACACATCGTAGTTAACCACTTTTTAATAATATTGTCTTAAAAATTTAAAAAGTTTTATACACGAAATACTTACGAAATGGAATTGAAATATTACAGAAACATCTATAAAAATACAAAAACCTATGTATCTAAATAAGCTTATTAGCTAGAAATTTCAAACTTTGTGTAAGTTATTTATTTCGATATTCGATACCTATGTATCGAAACTAGTGATGTACGGTGAGAGCTTCATATCGAAAACGCGATTGCCGAAGGTGCCCCGATGCCGAAGGTGCCCCAGTCTCCCCTATATAGGGATTTTGGTGCACCATTTACATTAAATCGGACGAAAATATATATGGGAGCTATATTTCAATCTGAACCAATTTTAACGAAACTTGGCACACATCACTCCACCCTCAATTCAGTACGTTATGCCAAATTTCGTGCAAATCGAAAGATATATAGGAGATTTGGTGCACCATTTACATTAAATCGGGCGGAAATATATAATATGTTTTTATTTACTTTGCAATTGAAGCCAAATTACAAATTTGGAAATTCGTACCAGAACGGTACGAAAAGTACTAAAAAGTACTTAATGTGATACCATTTGTATTTGGCGAACCGGTGGAACTAGAACTCTGAAATTTGGTTTGGTGGTCGTTGATGGAGTGTAGGATACATATACCAAAGGGTTTTTGGAAATTCGAACTATAACTATCCGAAAAGTACTAAAAATGTACTAAATTTGGTACAATTCTGTAGCATGTGAACGGATAGCGTTAAAAACTTTAAATTTGGAGTGTGAATTAAGGTTGAGATGTAGGGTCCATTTAAGGAGATGGTTTTGAATGAAACGGCTGAAGCTAGAATCTTGACATTTTGGGTGAGTGCCACTCTTGGTCCAAAGGTGACAGATAAGGCTGGGTTTTTGGAAATTCGTACTAGAACCGTACGAAAAGTACTAAATATGGTATCATTTGTATTTGGCGAACCAGTAGAGCTAGAAATTTGGATTGAGGGTCACTGATGGAGTGTAGAATAGATGTAGCAAAGAATTTTTTGGACATTCGAACTATAAGTATCGGAAAAGTACAGAAATGTACTAAATTTTGTAGAATTTCGTAGCATGTGAATGGATTGAGCTAAAACCTTGAAATTTGGAATGCAAATTAAGGTTGAGAATTAGGGTCGATATGAGGAGAGTTTAGAAAGCGTGTACTCATGTGTACGAAAAGTACTATATGGTACTATATTTGGTACAAATTTGATTTGGAGGTACAAATCGAGCTGGAATCCTGGAATTTGAAATTAAAATTACCGTCGGAGTGTAGGATTGGGATATGAACGTAGTTTTGGAAATTAGTTACTTATGTGTACGAAAAGTACTAAATCGTACTATAATCGGTACAGTTTGGATTTGGGTGATCCTATAGAGCGGGAACAATGAAATTTGGAGTCAGGATCACTGTAGTGGTATGGAATTGGGGTCAGGATTCAGTTTACGAAAATACTTATGGGTACTAAATGGTACTAAATTTGGTACAATTTGAATTTTAGGTAAACCAATAGAGCTAGAATTTGAAAATTTGGAGCCAGGATCACTGTTGATGTGTAAGATTGAGATATGTAGGAAGTTTTAGAAATTTGTACTAATGTGAACTAAATTTGGTACAAATTTAATTGTGAGTGAAACGATACAGTTGGAATCCTGAAACTTGGATTTAGGATCACTATGTGTGTGTAGGTTTGTGGTAAGAAGGAGGTTTTAGAAATTAGTACTACTGTGCACTAAATTTGGTACAATTTAAATTGTGGGTGAACTGATAGAGTTGGAATCCTGAAACTTGGATTTAGGATCACTGTGGGGGTGTTGGTTTTGGTTAAGTTGGAAGTTTTTGAAATTCGTACTACTATTTACTAAATTTGGTACAATTTGTATTGTGAGTGAACCAATAGAGTTTGAATCCTGAAACATGGGTGGGGGTATGTAGGAAGTTTTGGAAATTTGAACTAATGTGTACCAAATTTGGTACAATTTGAATTGTGGGTGAACCGACAGAGTTGGAAATCTGAAACTTGATTTTAGGTTCACTGTGGGGTGAAGGTTTGGGTTAAGTAGGAAGTTTTGAAAATTCTTACTACTGCGTACTAAATATAATACAATTTGAATTGTGGGTGAACCGGTAGGGTTGAAATCCTGAAATTTGAAATTTTTGTGGCGGAGTATGCAGGAAGTTTTGTTGGATGATGGAGGTGGGTACTTATGGAAATGATATTGGTAAAATTTGGATCTGGGTGAACCTTTAGTGCTTGATTCTTGAAATTTGGTACTCAAATTAAACATATGGTCGATATTAATGTCTGGATTGTTTAGTTTTTCTGACATATTCTGTTTTCTGTGAAAATAAAATAATATGTTAATACATGCTTAAGTATTTCCCACATTCGCTAACGAAGTAGCGGGCATATGCTAGTTATAAATAAATGATGTTAACACTAATAAAACATTATAAATGTAATTCTGCAGATGCATTTTAAAAACTTCGTGACATCATGGCTACTCAAATTTTTATTTATATATTTTAATTAACTAAATTTTATTACAGGTATTCAGCATATAAATCTATCGATCAAACAACATTTTTGGGTAGATCTGGTGTAACATGTCTAGTTCCTGCGCCGACTCGTAAAACCCGATGGACGCTACCGATTACTCCATTTCAATACACCCTGTGGTTGGGTGTAATGTTCTGCTTGTGCTGGGAAACGTTGGCATTGTTTGTGGCAAGAATGTTTGAAGAGCGCATTGTGGCACATCGGGAAAACCTCTCAAAATGGTCTAGTATACAATTTGCGTATACAACCACACTGAAATTATTTATATCGCAGAGTTCCAGATATAAGGTAATCTCACATACGGTAAGGACCATTCTCTTCGCCTGTTATATGATTGATATTATTGTGACGAGTATTTATGCCGGAGGACTATCGGCCATATTAACATTAGCGGAGTAAGTGGAAGGGTATACAAAATAACAATTACATATTCCATTATTGCAATTTTTTCCCAGTCTTGATGAAGCAGCCGATTCTGTGGAACGTTTATACAGCCACAATCTTACATGGACCGGAACTTCGTATGCTTGGCTTACCTCAATAGCCGATGAAGGAGAAAATAATGTACGATCACAATATTACAATATAAAATATAACATAACCTATATAAATTCAATAAATTCCTTACAGCCTTTATTTCGCCGCCTCCTGGACAATTTCCGTATAAGCAACATGGATGAAATGCGCCGTAAAGCCAAAACAGAAAATATGGGTTTTGTCCTGGAACGCATGGCTTTTGGTCATTTCGGTAATAGTCATTTTATAACACCCGAAGCTCTGCAACATCTTAAGCTAATGGTTGATGATATCTATTACTCGTATACTGTGGCCATGGTACCACGTATGTGGCCTCATCTACCCAAATATAATGATTTCATTTTGGCCTGGCATTCATCGGGTCTTTCGAAATATTGGGAATGGAAAATTGTCGCCCAATATATGAAAGGCAGTGACCAGGATCAGGTACAGGCTTCAATGTACAGTTCAGCGGATACGGGAGCAGTTCCGTTGGATATTGATAATTTTGCTGGTTTAATCGTTATATGGATTGTGGGTATATTGTTGAGTATTGTGGCATTTATTGGGGAATGGCTATGCTATTGGTTGAATAAGAAGTACATGAAAGCATAAGGACATGTTAAAGGTTACTCTTGAAATTTTGAAGTTGATTCGATATAAACATATTTTTGCCAAATTATTACACGTTGACCCCTATGCTTTACACCAGAAAATATAAAGAAGTTTTATATAAAGGTGTTCCTCACAATGCATATGTTATAGTTTATAGAGGTAGAAATCCTTAAAGAAAATATCACATAAATTTTATTTCTTGGAAAATATAATAAAACATAAGTCCTTAGTGCACCTTTTTGAAAAATAATTGTTTTATTTCCCACCCTATTTTTGATACATATTCTTTTGTGGTCGCATTTTCCACCGAAGTAGCTATAATTTGGTATTACGGTGGAGGCTGCCTTAAATATATGAAAAACCAGTAAGGAAAGTAGTAAAGTCGGACTGGGCCGACTATATGATACCCTTCACCACTATATGTATATATGTATCGTAACAGTTACATGTCATGTCAACCTATGCTAAATTTAATTTCAATCAGATTTAAGGAAATCGATTTATAGCAAACATGATATACGCAATTCAGTATACCGCACTATAATCTCAATCAGACACCCGTTCGAAATATATATGGTACGTTGTGCAAAATTTCGTGTCAATCGGACAAACATTAGGAGTTTGGTGCACCATTTACCTAAAATCGGACTAAAATATATATGTGGGACCTATACCTAAATTCTAACCGATATTCTCGAAACTTAACACACCTCATTCTAGAATCAATTTAACACGCTATGCCAACTATGGTGGAAATCGAAAGATATATAGGGAGTTTGGTGCAACATTTACATTAAATCGGACGAAAGTATATGTGAGCTATATTAAAATCTGACCCGATTTTCTCTAAACTTTACACACATCATTCTAGGCTTAATTCAGTACTCTATGCCAAATTTCGTGCAAATCGAGATATATATAGGGACTTTGGTGCACCATTTACATAAAATCTGCAAAACTATATATGGGAGCTATATCTAAATCTGACCCGATTTTCTCGACACTTAACACACATCATTCTAGGTTTAATTCAGTACTCTATGACAAATTTCGTACAAATCGATATATATATATATATACATATATGGGAAATCACAAAATTCTTTTAAAATTCCATTAAAAAAATTTTGAAAAATTTTTTTGCGAGCACATTTATGATTTTTGGTACATAGGTTAAGAAAAATATGCTGATCCGAAATCTGTTCGCGTTCACCAATTCGGATGCTGCGCACAAAAGTTATAGCGGTTTTAAATCTTGTATTTCAAATATAAATTAAATGGATTCCTATTCGTTGTAATTCGCAAATTTCTTCACAAATGCTTAAACACCATTGTTTTCTTTGCATACTAGTCAAATCACACTGAAATACGGTTTAATAGTCGCGGAAAACAAATAGAAACATGAAGATATCGGAAAATAAAATAAATTAATTTTTGAATTAAAACAAATTTTTTTTTAATTTTCGATTTTTTTAGTATGGTTAAGAGGATACGGTTTTGCCTTAATCTTCTAAAATATAAGACGCTTTCTTCTGCAAATTCTTTTAGATGATTGTTAAATATCGGTAGATTCATCTGATAGGAGTTTCGACGTCATTAATGGCTTAATATATTGCACTTACAATACCTAAAAATGATCAATATTGAAAAGCTTGCAATTCGCGAATTAGTTGAAATCAGTTCATGCGCATGCGATTTTCGTATAAACCGAATCAATATCTTTCAATAATTATTAATTTTTCGATGTTTAATTTAGCGGTCAAAGTGTGCCACTCGATGCACTTTCCTATGCAAAAACCCTAAAAATGGCTAAAAATCACGCAACGTGCATACGATTTTTATGCGCATCCGATTTCAGTAATCTCTTATGAAAATACACAAAAGGACACCTATTTTAAAAGGATCGGTTAAAAACCGCGGATGTGCCTCCACAATCAATTTTTGATAAAATACGCATATTATTCGCGTATCGATGTAATTTTGACCTATTTCCACACAGATTCGCGAATTTGACAATACAAGCATAAATGCATGTAAAATGATTCGAAGAAAACCGCGATTATTTACGCGAATTTGTCAAAATAAGTTTTTGCAGTTTTTCCCACATTCAAGGTACCTATATCCGCCGTTTTATTGGACGGAATTGAACATGGATGGGCTCATTAGATCCGGCACGTAAGAAAACTAAAATCACGCGGGGTTCCACGGAATTTGAATAGACCTTCTTAAATTAGGACTCAAAAAATATGTTTTTTATAAAAATTTACGCACCAAATTTCCGTCTTAGGAACCCAATTGCAAAGAAGCAACAGTGAGCACATTCATGAGATATACACTAAACGAAGCAGAATCACGAGTTCTACAATCCTATAATTAGTTTATTCTATTATCTGGATGCGCATCCTAATTATAAGAAAAATTCAAAAAACACGGAAAATCCGGCTTCAAAATGTCAGCATCCATTTTGGGTGGATCCAGTGATTATATCGAAAAATCATACATTAGAACCATATTGTCCATGGGGTATTCTGCAACTTAGTCACTGATCACATGTGCGTGCGTTGTGTAGTTTAGCCACAAATCGGGAACGAACACAAAAAAACTCGTTGGCTTCAACACATTTTCACCCATTTTTTTACATTACCACCATCACAGCTTCCACCCAACTTATTATTTATTACCAATATTTTAAGATTTTGACAAGAACACTTCATTTTATAGAATTGAATTTAAATTATATGCAATATGTTCATATTTCGCGAGTTATAACCTTACAAACCTCAGCTTCAAGGAATTTAAAAGATTTTTGTAATTTCCCATATATAGGGGCTTTGGTACTCCATTTACATTACCATCATTACCACCATTTACCGATTTTCACGAAACTAAGCACACATTGTTCTGGACCTAATTCAGTAGTCTGTATTAAATTTCGTGCAAATCGAGAGATATATAGGGACCTTGGTGCCTATATCGGACGAAAATATATATATGGGAGCTATATCTAAATCTGAACCTATTTTCACCAATTTCAATAGGGTTCGTCCTTGGGCCAAATAAGTGACTTGTGCCAAATTTCATCTAAATCTGCTATAAACATATACACAAAGGCAATACCCTGTACGACAGTGTGGTGGAGGGTATAAAAAGAGGACTACCAGTAAAATGGAGCGAATATTAATAATATAATATAAATACCATATACGACTACAAAAAACCAAATTACAAATATTTTGCTATAAAAACGCGTTCAAGAACCCGAAAATACCGAAAATTGAGGGGTAGCCTTATATAGGGGCTACCCGAAAAAATGGACCTATATTTATAAATAATAGTGGAGAGATTTACTACCTAATAAGAACTCGACGTACTAAATTACAGTCAATTCGGTCGAAAAATACGATCAGAACCCCCAAAATACCAAAAATTTGGGGGTACCGTTATATGGGGACTACCAGAAAAACTGGACCTATATTTATAATATTTAGTGGAGTAATTTGGTACCCAATAATAACCCAATGTACAAAGTTTCAGAGAATTCAGTTATAAAACGAGCCCAAGAACCCCAAAATACCGAAAATCGGGGGGTACCCTTATATGGGAGCTATGCCTAAACGTGGAACGATTTTCTCCAATTTCAATAGGGTTCGTCCTTGGACCAATTAAGTGACCTGTGCCAAATTTCATCCAAATCGGATCATAAATGCGACCTGCACTTTGTTAACAAAAATACATGGACGGACGGACAGACGGAGGAGTTTACAGACGGAGGAGTTTCTAAATTAAATCAGGTCAGGAAAGCTCTAAGGTCGAACAAGAGATGCTCACATGTACAATATCCTGTATATAAAACAGGCATTGCCTCTTTGGAGGACCATTGAAATGTAATCGAACGAAATTAAATATATGATCTGCAAATTAAATTAACCCCGTACATAATAGTATATAGCTTTTTCAGAACAATGAACAATTGCATGTCAATCGGGCAGACTTGGGTTAGTTGGTATACAATTTGTATGAAATCAAACAGAATCGTGTATGGGAGCTATATGTAAGTCTGGGCCTATTTGAGCAGCCGTGGTATACACCATCTGGCTTGTTGCAACACAGTGTGCTGTTTAAAACTTTGCTTGATCAGAGAATCGCTTATTATATGGTGCACAATTCTAGGTCAATTTGGTACGTTGCGCACAAATTCGTCACAATCGGACAGACTTAATTTTTTTGGTACTATTTAGGATAAAAATATTTATGGAAGCTATATTTATATCTGAACCTATTTCAACAAAACTTCACAGACATCATGCTGAACTTAGTTCAGTACGCTGTGGAAAAATATGTCTGAATTGGACAAATCTTTAGAGTTTTGTGTACAATTTATAAAAAATCGAACGAAAATATATATGGGAGCTATATCTAAATCTGTACTGATTTAAGCAAAACTTCGCATACGACAATCTGTACTTAATTAAGTACATTGTGCAAAAATTTGTCTTAATGGCGACTTGGGTGAACTACTGTGGAATCGGAAACCCCTATATGGGAGTAATATCTATATCTGTTCGTTCTTGGGGCAAATGAGTATGATAATAAATGCGACCTGTGCATAAATCGACTCAGAAAGTGATTATATGCCTATTGTCAAGAAAGTGATGTGTGTTAAATTTCGTGTACATTGGTTCAGATTTAGATATAGATCCCATATATATTTTCGTCCGATTTAATGTAAATGGTGCACCCAACTCCCTACATATCTTTCGATTTGCACGAAATTTGGCAGAGCATAATGAATTAGGTCTAGTATCCTGAAATCGGTTCGGATTTAGATAAAGCTTCTTTATCTGACCAAATGAAAAATTTAGTATCGGTTGCAGAAAGACATTTTACTGGTCCTTTAAAAATGCAACGTCTGTTAGGATTCATATGTTGAATATACCCAAAGTGGTGACCATAGTTCTACATAGCGTGTTGACAAATAATTTGATTGCTTAATTTTTTAA